CGTCCAAAGCCGGCGCGTCCTAAACCCCGGGGGGGGGGGGCACACCCGGGGGCCAGTCCTGATTCAAAAAATAAACAGGAGAAAAACAGGCCTCATTAATAAACCAAATAAAGGAACTGTCGGATTCTTTTTTTGCTTAAGAGTTTTATCTAAGCAAGCAGTTTAAATGTTCCATCTTTTACATGATGGAGAAACAAAATTTCCTGGCACACCTAAAGAGCAGCAGGTTTAGACTGGCTTGCTCAGCAAAACTAAGTGAGACACTTGATTTAGTGCAGTTTTACTGTATGCTTAGCAATTCAACATTAGAGTACCTTCCATTAATACAGTAAGAATTATCTGTCATGTTGATGCTTTCCATACAGGGGAAAAAACATGCATGCATGTGAACACGAGCTAGGAAAGGCTGTAATTTGAAGGTTTGTTTAGGGTGGTTTTTAGCATACTTGTCGCAATGTATTAGAAAAGGAAAGGTCAAAACCGAAAAAAACCCACCAACAAACCCTTACTACATCCTTTTCTTATCCATATTTTTATTATCTTTACTAATTATTTATACCACAATTATATTTTTACACTCAAGATTATCACTAAAGCAGAAAAAACAGATCCATGTTTTGTTACCATATTTCAGAGCCATCATTAGTCAATTTTATCACTGTCCACTGCTTACTAAATAAGGGCAAAAGTATTACAGTGTTAGCAGTGTTACAGTTCCTGACTCCACTCCGCATGTATTTCAATACACCTCTTGAGCAACAGTTTATCTGACCACAAACATTTAGCAAATTTGAAATGTTTTACCATCACTTCAAAGACTGACTGAATCCATCTCTTCATTAGGAAAAGAAGATGACTTCTGCTGAGAAACCGCTTTCACGTTCCAACACCGAGATAAAACAACCTCCTCACCCGCCTCTCTGCGCAAATCCTGGAAATCCTGTGTTTTCCTGCATGCTGGACCCCAAAACACTCACAACCAATAGTTTTTTGACAAAGCCTCAGATTCTATTGTTTAAAACGACTTCAAGTGAGTATGGTGCTATACCACCTACCTCACAGACGGTACCTTGTACTTACCATCCAAAGGATCAGACATTTTCAAAACACTTACACACCTGTGGGTCCTTTAGAAACAGTCATTTAAACACTGCTCCTGACAGAAGTAGGGTATATGACTACCCAAATTTGCAGCACACTCTGTAAAAATGCATCTCTGTCATTTTCGTATGTGGTTGTTTAAAGACTAGGCACTTAATCTTAGCCTTAGGAAAACAAATTTGTTATTTCAGTCATTCTGGGTCTAACCTGTCAATTTTTGATTTAGTTTGGTTCTGTTGAGCCACGTAAGATGTATCAAATGGGATGCAGTCCTTTTGATAATACGCTTGTCCAAATCAGACCTGAACCCATAAAAATAAAACTCCTGAAACTAGAATAATAAATCTATAACTCTAGTTTATAGAAAGTGTTAAGTGCCAGAGAAATTGACCTGAAGGCTTACTTGTTTTAATTAAAGTATTTTCTGATTCAAAACACTATGCCAGTCTCCACGTTTCTATATTGCAAGACAAAAATATCAACATCACACGTATGCTATACACACCATCAACCAAAGTGTTGAAGTCAGAAGCATATATTGCTCCCAATATAATCAAATGAGACAGGTAGGCATTATTCATCCCAGCAAACACATTAGCTTCTCTGACCTTAAAAGAGGACGTTTTCTATTTCATAACTGCCAATTCCAAATTAACAGCTGAAAATTAACTATCAAACTCCATTATATCCAGCACTGTATTACAGTTTTAAAAGTATCATAATACTTTGGAGCAGATTTTCTTTCCTGTTCCACTCACTTTATACTGAATGGTGTGGTAAAGCAAATAGGAATCATGCACATGACTCCCAGCTAAAAGATCTCCTTGAACAAGAGAGTGCCCATTGAAGCCTGGAGCCATTTTAACCAATTCCAGTTTGCTTTTCCTCCGAAAGCATAGGCCAAGGAAAGAAAGAGGCCGTAGAGAAAAGTGCTTATCTACATCCAAAATAGTCTTTAGGGGCCGTAACCAATGGCTACAATATAAATCGCCTATATAGATGTATACAGATTATTCTGACAGGCTCTGCAACCAAAAGAGAGAATCAGGAACCTATAAGCAGCTTCTGCTTCTTTGCATTTTCTCATCTCCTGTGTCTCTGTCCTTAGCCTCCTCTTCCCTTCAATAGTTGTATGGAAGAAAGTAGCCATATTTTAGTAAGCATAGCATTACATTCAACTGAAGCATTACAGCTCCTGCACTGCTCCCCTTCCAACTGCAACAAATGAAGAACTGTTACCGCTTTCCATCACAATGCAGGAGGTATCTGTAGAAAAGAAGGAACAGCAGCTATCCTACCCACTTCTGACTCACCTCAGCACTTCTCTTAAGGCTCTAGGGAAAGTAGCTGGAGGCAGCATCTGCAACCTTCTCACTGTACCAAAAGTATAAAAATTGTGGAGGGTAACATAAGAAGCATGTGTCTGCAGAATAAATATTTTCTTCTAAACAGAAACCTGAGAGTCATAAACGGTATTCAGGAAACAAGTTGAAGTGGAAAATTCTGAAGTCTGCCAAAACTGCTACTGAAAAGAGTGTCTTTGAAATACTCACAATTTGGATAAAATGCATAGCATAACAAAACTGCTTAAAGCCCAGTGTTTCAGGTTGTCATAAATAAATAAAAATACTAATGTATGTATAAACAAGACAATTCTATATTACATTCTTTCACTACCCAAAATAACAGGTGCATTACTTCAAAACACAATATCATGCTTCATGTTGTTACAAGTGTTATGAAACCTGATCAGGGTGCTCCTTTTTGAAAACTTTTAATCACATCACTTTTCCTAAGACACTGGTCAATGCCAACAGAGTACAAATTAGAATACTAACTCAAGAAATATATATATACACGTATATTGTTACCAATGTTTTTGATTTAAAATACACTTTACAGCTACATTGTAAGATTACTAATTGTACTGAGAGGGGAAAAAAAGTAAGCCACGTTCATTGACAGGACAATTACCTCAGTATTAATTTACCATTACACTGCAATCCAACACTATGGATTTGTATTTTTTCCAATAATCTTGTTTGGTCAGCTCCCCCCCAAAATCTTTCAAAATAGACCGTAAATATTTAACGGACATTACTTACTGCTAAAAAGAATGTTCTGCACTGCATAACATCTACCTCTAACCTCCCAGGCCTAGATTTTCCAAATTGGGTGCCTGAATTACAACACCTAAATACAATGTTTTAGTTTCAGACGTGCCAAACGGTACAAACTGTAAGAAAAAGAGGAAAGCGTATGGAAAAAAAAGAGAAGGGCTTTCAGTCTTCTGTAGGAATTATGAGTGCTAAACAGGCATAACAATTCAGACTGTTTATAAAATACCAAATTTTACAACACCCAAGTCTGAGAGACTTTTAAACAAATATGTTTTGGACTATATATATTTTATGTATGTATGTATGTATGTATGTGTATAAATCAATCAATTTTGTAGCTGTTCTGAGTGTAACAGCAAAATGTCTAGTTAACAGGTATTGGGCAGATATGAACCAAAATTCCTTCTCCTCAGAATTCCCTTTTTTTTTTTTTTTCTTTTTTATGAGTCTTGCAATGTTCCTTGAATTATGTGTCGAATCTTTTCAGCATCTTTTTCTATGATTTTATTTTTAGGATCAATCTTGAGAGCTGCTTCATAATCCTGGAGACCTAATACAGACACATTAATAACAATGTCAGTCAAAGCAAGAATATGTTACCTTCTTTAGCAACTAATTGGAAATAACAGCTGCCTAGTCATATGCATATTAAATATCGCTCTTGAATTTTAGATAATGCTATTGAGTACAATGGAATCAGAACAACATTATGCTTAACTTTGCCACTAAATAAGTATATATTTTATTTATATTATTTTTAAACATTTTAGTAGAAACATTACACTCTACTACATAAACATTTTCAGCTACTGAAACAGGAAAACAGAGCCTTTTCACACACATATATGCACGGGGGGTCAATGAACTACTTTCTTTGGCGTAAAGACTTTTCATAGTCTACGGCTTCTTCCTGCAGATAATCTTGCAATTGTTGAAGGTATACCATTCAGTTAATAAATACAGAAATGAGCACTGCAGTCCAGTCAAATAGATTCTATACCAGAATTGCAGTCTATATTAAAGCATAAACACACTCAACATTTATGAGGACATCAAGGATAAGGGAATTATGGATGAAGGGAGTGTTCAAAAGCGTTCTGCAGGAAACAGAAAAAGTGAAAGACAGAATGAAAGTGCATGGAAACAAGAACAAATACAGCAATTGTAAATACGATAGCTTATGAAAACATCCAAGAACAGGAAGGAATATTACATTAATTCTTTTTTAACTTTTTGTTATAAGGTTTTCACCTGCAAATGAAGCTGTAAGGGTACAGCAAAAGGATTCAGAGGCAGAAAAAGATGAGAGGAGTTAGGAAAAGATTAGTATTTCAACAACGGCATTTTGAATATTCTTCTGTTATTATCTTACATTTCTAACTTTGTCTTGCAAAACCAAACTGATACTACTACAGAACTCAGTAGGGATACTGTTAACTCAGATAATTTTCACACAGATTACATTTTGCTCATGAATATGGATTTCATATATAGGTTTATAAGGATACGTTACTAAGCTCTTCACAAATAAATATTTTAGAAATATTTAAGAGGAAATATATTTCATTTTTTTAGATAAATATGTTCTACAGTTGATAATACTGTCAATATAAATTAAATCTCAAAATAATAAATAAATAAATAAATAAAAAGTTGCTTCATGAACAGCAAAACTAGTGCAATCTAGTTTCACGTCAGCTTGCATCCTACATTTGAATGCTCCCCAATGCAAAAAAATAATCTCCCATTAATACTGTTCTCTGACCTCTCATTCATTTCTCAGTAATACCAACATCTCTCTTCCTTGGCCACCAAGTTATTATGTTCAGTAGGTTGATCACTGGCTGTTATGTACACAAAGACAACTACCCAACAGACCAAAGACAGGACACACAATTCACTAAAGCTATTGCCTTATTCCTCTCCTCAGATACCAATTTTCCCAAAACTTGTAAAAATTTTTCAGGTGGGTTTGAAATTAGCCAGTATATTAAAACAAAAGTTTAAGGTCAATGGTATAAAGGTTCATTATGAACAGAGATACAGACTGTATAGGCCTCCTTCGATGTCCCTCCTAAAAAAATAAAGGTGCGAGCAGTCTCATTGAGCTTAACAGAATTACTTGCATTTGTCACCTTAAATATATGCGTAAGTGTTTACAAGTGCATAAATAAATGCATAAGTGTTCATAAATTCAGGGTCCTACCTTCAGCATATAATTCCAGTTGACAAAACGCTGTTCCACGTCTCACATATGCTTTCACTCGAGCATTCTCATTATCAGGAACAGGTGGTGTCAGCAATTCCAGCGCCTTTACAAATGAAAATACCCAAAATACTTATAGCCAGATTTCCTATATTCTGGCTGTTCTCATTTATATACACACTCATAACTTCAGATTTAACTATATAGCCTGTGAATCTAGTCATTAAGATTTGTATCAGTCGCACCGCAGCTGCAATTTTATACATACAGCGTCACCTCCTTGGTTAAAAACCGGCACATGCTGTGTTAATGTTATTTACAAATAACTAATTTATTCCATTTTCATATATGAGATTACCTACCATGCTACAGACAAAATACTTAAAAAGTGCATGTGTTGTAGCATTATTTACTAGAAAAAAGTTTCAAGCCTCAAGTAATTACTAATTCAAAAGATAACAATTTCACACTGTTTTCTTCCAGTTATTCAGGTACCATTTGAGATCACTCTATTCTGTGATTCCACAAATAATGGCTGCTAAAACATACAGATGATCCAGCCCTTCTTAAAAAAAAATGTTGTTTGTTTGTTTGTTTGGGAGAGGGATGGAAATTAGGTATTTTCCTCATAACCACCACCTTTTTTCTTTCTTCCTACCAAATGAAGCACAATACAACATATTACAAAACGTATTTGGGTGCATGCTGTATTTTTTTCTGCTGCAAGTAGTCTTATTTTCAAGTGTAGATATTCCTACAGTATTTTTCCTGTGAAGAATTTGGTACTGTGTCAACATAGCTCCGTTCAGCCCAAATGTGTCAGAGCACTTATTTTCATCAGGTCCTGAAACTTCATTAGTCAATCACTTAATGTCAAATTTTAATCTTTCACCATGGCTTCATTATCTCAATTTTGAATTTAAAAACTATTTATTAATCTGCTTAAGATAGAAACTACCCAGTGATAATAGATTATACTCATGTAGATGACAGTCTGAAAACCTGTATGATATATTTATACCTTAGAAGAATCTTCAATGGCTTTGTGTAAATTTCTCAGTTTAAGGTGGCAAGCAGCACGATTCAGATACAGCACTGGAAGCTTATTGTTTAGCCGGACTGCAAGGTTATATGCATTTACAGCTGCCAGATAATCTCCTGTTGCAAACATTTTGCTAAGTGTATAACAAAAAGTAAAACATTCATTTTAAACAAAGTGCAACATCACCAAATGAATATTTACTTATTGTTAACAATTCATTTTTTAATTTAAAATTTAAGCCGCTTTTCACTGAAAAAAATGGTCATTTATAACCTTTTCAACATAGCTGAAGTTCAGTTAAACTTAATGCTGATAATATAACACATAGATATCCAACTTGGCAAAAAAAAAAAAAAAAGATACTGCTTGAAAGCAACGAAGAATACTAAAAGTAGGACACAGGACTGGTTTTTAAAGCTGTGTGTGTCTGATTATGATTATCTAATCTAACCTTTTTGTGTAACACAGCTATATACACATAGCAATATTTGTATCAAATTCCTGAAGTTTGTTTTAAACAGATGTTTAATCTCTCAATAACAAAAAATATAAGTGAAAGGAAATCTGCCTAGGTGTAATCTTCAACTAATTAACTAATTAACTGTCTCAGTATTAAAACGTGCATTGTGTGCTTATAATGAATTTGTCCATCATGAGTTTCACCAACTGGATCTCATGACTTTATCAACCTAAAACCCCCCATACTATCAATAACATCTACCCTAGGTAGACATTCACCATCTGTGTCTAGGATAATTAGAAAATCTCATAACTAAACAACAGCCACACACTATGTAACAAATAAATTTGATTTTAAATGCATCTTCAAATGGAGTGTAACTCACTTTCCTTTGTCCTTTAACCAATCTGGACTCTTTTCCTCTTCCTTTAAATCTTCCAGCTCAGATAAATCAGCATTTATTGTTCTTCGAGCTTCTGCTTGTTTATGTAGCCACTGTAAGTATACAAAATGAATGTATTACTTCTGCACAAAAATTCAAATCCAAAAAAGTATTCTCCTTTCATCTATTCATTCACTCCTACTAAAATAATTCTCTTTACCACATATTTTTGGGCAGAGGTATGAAAAGCTCCAGATTTCACCAAATATTTTATTGCTATGTGTAAAGCAACATTACTGCACTGCCAATACATTTTTGTTTGCTTGCTTGTTTTAGAACTTCCAAAAGTGACTGTTCGTGTTCATCTAGTAGAGTTCAGAAGAATTAGTTGTGAAGTATTTTTTAAAAAGGCAGAACTTAAAGAATCTTAAAGACAAGAGTAAAAAAACTTCAAAACTTGTACCTAATGGAATTCAACTAATATTGCAATTAAAAAAAATAAAAACATAAGAATATGCTACTTATTATTCTGACAATCAAATACTTGGTAAAAAATTGTTTAGATGTAAAAGCATTTATTTAGATAGTAATTTAATTAAGACTACCTTCCTTGGAAGATGGAAATATTGCAAAACTTCCACCTTGGATGATAGTGAAAGCACCACACTAAAACAGAGAGCGATCATTACCTCTTCCTCTTCTGCTACCCGAGATTCACGTAGAGCTGTAGGAAAAACCCGCGATGTAAAGTTGATTTTAATTGTACCAGCAGATCGAGGCGCTGGTAACTGTTCTTCCTTTAAATTATCTGAAAACATACTATCGGAACCAGGACCTGCAAATAGAATTAGAGTACCAGAAATGAAAAATAAAGTGAAAGATTTTTTTTCCATTTTTCTATCAAATCCCAAAGCGTACCTAATTTAGCATTCTGCACACTGGAAATAAACCTCAAGCTATTACTTGAGAATAAGTTTGGACTTCTTTTGAAGGAAATTCTCTGAAAAGGTTTGTTCTTACTGTATTATGGAACCTATTTACTGGCTATGTTATCTGCCGCAAGTGAACTAAAACGCCTGTGACGTCAACATCTCTGGCACTTGTATGATTCCTTGGTGGGCCAAATTCAATGGCTAAAACTAACCTTACCAAAACAAAAACACAAACAAAAAAAAATTAAGAATTTTCTGTTAGTTTAGCTTCCTGAACCAACTCTCTGTGTACCAAGATAAGGACTAAAGAGAGCAAAAGGAGATTTCTCTATATGGCAACATGTAGATAGCTTAGCAGTAACATGAACACCACCTTCAGAGAGACCTTTAGAAAGGCTTTCTGCTTTACTCTCCTAAAGCTTAGAGCAAAATGTGCCTTTGTGTTTCCAATGACTTAAAAAGGAGCTAAGCACTCGCATGCTTTAGCTCAATAAAGAGACAGAAAATAAAGATACGAAAATAACCGCAAACTAAAAGAATTTGTTCAGTATGGTATATAGAGACAAAGATAAATGATGAACTAGAAACATCCAGGAATAAAATTATATCATGCTTTGAAGAATGACAAAATAGACTCCAACAATACAACCTTTAGTAGGTTTGACTCTGGTCTTAGAACTTCTGTCATTAGGAATCCTAGGTTTGTTTATTTTGTCCTTTTTCCTTTCCCGTAATTGTTCTACTGCTTGATGCAGTTCCTCTTCTCCTTGTATCCTCTTTTGTCTCTCAATATCTTTTTGCTGATTTTTCCATAACTCCAATTCCCTAGTGACCTTTTGCCGCTCCTGTTCTTTCAGATCTTCAACTCTTTTTCTTTCTGCTGCTTCTAGCTGTTTGTAGGATAAAACTGAGATATGTAACATCTGATAACTGAATAAAATATACCATTAACTGAATAAAATATACCATTATTTCCCAGTTTCATATGCCAAGCCCAACACTATCATTAATGCAATGATATAAGCAGAGTTATGAAAGATGCTGCAAAATGAATGGGAAAGTAAAGATTTTCAGTTAGCTATGTTTTAACTCTTTTACCACCTCTACTAGAGAGATGATCTAGAAACATTCAGAAATAAAGTTCTACTTGTATTCTAAAGAATGATAAAATAAAATCCATCAATAAAACCTTTAGTAAGTTTTTCCTGTCACTTTAGAAGTTCCTTCATTTCAGTTCAACACACAAAGTATGCTGTTCACATAGCTCCTTTATTCTGCGGGAAATACATTTTTTACTTCCTTGCCTACGTTTCCTACTTTATCAAACTTGATACTAAAGATGAACTTTTTTTTTTTGCAATACAGATGAATATCAAACATCTGCCAAATTAGTTGGCAACTGCTTACATTTACATGTCTAGTAGAGGTCCTTGTAAGCTTACCTTCATTGTGGCCTCCAAAGCGTATTTTTTGTGTTCCTGTTTTGTAACTTTTTTTGCTTCTGCCTCCTCTTTTGCCTTTTCATGGGCTTTTAGAACGGCATTCTCTCTTAGATATTGCAGTTTCTCCTTGTTAGCTGGGAACAACAACAGCAAACAAACTAGTAATTTAGGCCTGAAGTTCTACTGTCATGTACCATGTTCCTAAAGAAGTCTAAGTTACTTCATCTGATAAAGGGCAACAAAACATGGTTCAAACTCCACAAAGCAGTCTCTATCAAGCCCACCTCTGAAAGAAAAAAAACCAGGATTTACTTAAACCCAAAACACACCCACCAGAACCAGAAGATGTTTTGCATTCAGTTGTTTTCCTCTACTTTATAATTTTAACAATGAACAACAGAGTTTAACTTTGCAGAGATTCAGCAGCAGAAATTTCAGAGTTTGTTATGGCTTTCAAGGTTACAGCAGAGAACTTCCCCCCCACCATGGGTTTTTCTAGCCATTTAGAAATCTTTTCAGCACTTCAGCAGAAGAGCACAACAATGACCCCACAAAGTTAGATTTTGAGGGTGAATGTGTGAATGTGAAACTGGTAAGACTACAAATATCACCTGAAAATTTTCTGGAAATGATGGCTGGCAACTCAGAATAAATGGAGTATGATGCAAGATCCCCAACTAACATCGTGCTTTTCAGTGACAGACTAGAGTTCATGAACTTTCTCAGATTTACTAATACAACACATGCAAAGCCAGCTGTGTAGGTAAAGGCGGTACTTCTTTATACAAAATAGCACAATTAGAAAAGCAGCGAATTTCCAAACTTTTCAGAAAAAGAATTTTGACATCGTTTTGGTTCTTCATACATAATTTACTTTTCCACAATAGAGAACTTACCATTTTCGATCATTAGTGAATCCCACATAGCCATTTCTTTTTTGTACAAAGTGAAGAGAATGATTCCATTTCCAATCTTTGCTGTGCTATTTGTGTCATCAATAGGAGCATATAAAACAGCTTCAAATAAAAAGGGTGGGATGCTTACCTATAAAAATAACAAATGTGTACTACTATTTAAAGTTATTACATCTCGAGTAGACATTCAAAACATCCAGTACAAGCATGCAGTAAACCTCAAGAAACAAACGCTACTATCAAAAACATTATTTGGTTAGTATGAGGTATGGAAGTTACGTATTTTATTACGCCAAGTAAGAGATGGAAGTTGCTCCTCAGAACTGAAATAGGAGCAATGGACTTCACATTTTGAGTTCTCAGTCATAGTTTAATCAGATGTGGATAACTCAGACCAGTGATGAGAGAAAAAGCAGCTGGTAGCTGCTAAGTAGAGTATTTGTGAGGAGAAGACTGGTGATAAAGTGACTATCTCCAGCGTGATAGGTATTTAGCAGCCCGCAGCAGACAAAGGGAGGAGACGATGCCAGAGATCATGAAACTGGCGGCGCTGACATGGCATGTCGAGCGTGTGCTCGTTCGCAGAGCTCTACCCTACCGCCGAGGCACAGCCCCACGGACGCAGCGCGGCCTCCCCGCGGAGGGAAGGGCCGCGGCCCCCCACCTTCAGGTACTGGTCGGTGCAGAAGATGTTGGCCGGGGTGGCCCGCACGCCCCGCAGCGGCAGCGAGAGGTACACGGCCGAGTCGGTCTGCCGCCAGCTGTAGTCCC